TCCTTTAGTGTCATGGCCGTATCATCTTCCTTATGCATCTTTGAGCGATTTGGTTTTCAGGGCAAAGTGGCAAGAGCGTTGTGAGTTCAAGTAGCACACATTTATTCACAATTTAATTATACAACATAGGAACCTGTGCTAAGTCGGTTTTGCAATTTTCTCCCTGCCTGTTAATTTGGCTTTGTCCTCCTCACCGTGACTATTTCGAAAACATGTTCGACCAGTTGGCTTCTATGCGGACGATGCTATTTGCCCTTAATGCAGTGCTTTCTTAGCATGCTCTATTCAGCCACGCTGACCTTTTCTCAGTTGCTCCGTCGAGACGAGCAGCAAGTTCATTAATGCTGTTCCTCACTTTCAAACCTATTTCTCCAATGTGGCTTTCGCCGCACGAGCAATTTATCCTGTGTTATTTTCTTGCCTTAGCATGATGCACTTCTCTTAGACTTTCATATGAAACTGCTAAGCCTGTTTTAATAGTAGTACCGACGATTCATAAAAGGTTTTTATATTTTACCGGCTTTATTGCTTCCGCTGACGGTGAAAAAGATTAGGCGTGAGTGAAGTTTAGTCTGCAAGAAAGCCTTCCGGTCACTCAAAGAACACCTAATCTCGGAGTACATATTTGCTTTTCCAAATTTTGAAAAGAGGTGGACAGTAGACATCGATGCCAATGACATGATACTGGTTATATATTGTTACTTGAACGATGGAAAGGAGCATATAATAATGTACTTAAGTCGCAGATTGATCGAAGCTGGAAAGAGGTACTGTACGAGACAGCCGAAGCTGTTAGCTATGGTGCATTTTATTCGAAATTTCCGTCGCTGCCCGTACGGAAAGCAATTCACAAGAGTCATCTGATACAAATGAATTCGATAACTCTGCCCCAGATTCCATTTATTTCCTGCCGAAGTTCAAGCACTGATACGAGATCAGAAACGTTGAAGACGCTGTCTGATGCATCTGCTTATGCGATCCGAGAGGATAAGTGATAACTGAAACTGACCGAGTGAGTTACACAACTTAAAATAGATTGACACGTGCACGACCTCGGCCAAATTGGATGCAAAATCTGCAAAGATCGCGCGCCTACCGTTGGCAAACAGACCGTTAGATTGGCCAAACTTGATTTAGTTTCCCACACCCTCGTTTGTTTGATCGAGCTATTTCGGAAAGGGTTCTAGGTTTGATTTGTTTATCGTAACTGACGTAGGTTTAACGAGTTGCAAAAAAGCATATTTACCTTAAAATAAAGAGGAGAAAAAACGATCTTCAACGGTTAGCTTGTTAGATACATCAGTGCTGTTGGTAGTATATTTCTGCTCTCATCCAGTCGTTTTGTTGTTTGTTTATTCCGGAGTAACCGTTTGCATAACCTTCCATCTACTTCAGAGGTCATGCTCATGTAACGCGCTTAAAGCAGCCGTCAACTCGACAGAGTCGAATCCCTCCGTGTATTTGACGAAAGCTACGCATAGCAAAATGATAGCTTATATTCTTCGAACCTCTTTGTTAGCCGCTTTACCAAATGTCATACTCGACGGCAAAGATTCGTCCACAAAAACGGACTTGTAAGTAGTTTGAAGTTTTTCTGGATGCTGTTTATCCAGATTTGTGATGGAAATATTATTAGTCAGTGGTATTCGTGGTTTTCATAGTGGCTCCTCTTTCTGAGAAGAATCATTTCTGTTTGGTAGGTGAAGCACAAAAGATTTGCATGTCGTACAAAAAAGCCAAGAAAAAATATTATGGTAGGTCGTTTGTGCTACCCTCACTGACCTGGAAATTTATTTATCACTGTTCACTTACTTCATATACAGCTGATTTGCCAAATTCTAATTTGCGCTGCTCATCAGCTTCGCGCAGTAGATATAAACCATAAGTGTGCGCAGGTCTCAATGTTTCAACGAACGCTCATTAACGTTGGTCTGATTAGTGTCAATTGATCACCACAAAGTTAAAGTCATTGCTCGAAAAATCACATTCTATCTGTAGCCACAAAACCAAGGTGGATCACGGCAACGTCGCTTCTATTTGACATTCGTTGATAAAGTAGCGATTAAATATGACGTAAGGCGTTCAGTTCGAGAATTTAGGGAATCTAAAAATGATGCGCAGACCTCATGGTCAAGATTCACAAAAATGCAACCTCCAGTGCCAAGCTTCAAGAAATCAAAAACGAATTCAAAATGGCAAAGGGCGATAATATATAACCAAAGCTTCACAGCAGTCTTAGAAGCAGTTTTCAGGTTCTTTGGGAAAGTCAGAGGTTGAAGATAAACTGACATTTCTTAGTCGCATGTTGCTTGCCGATGGAGATCGCCAGTAAAGCTCCAAAAAGGAATCGAAGTGCTGAACGACATCAGCATCAAAGCAGAATTGAAATCTGAAGGAGGCTTACTGATCGGTTGAACTCAACAGACGAAGGCTTAAAGAGTTGCCAGACTACGTCTTCCTCGATCAGTTCACCTCTGTAACGGAAAACCGTTTCTACTAAATGAACAAAAGAATAAAATGGCATGAAGCACTTTTGGAAGACTGGAAACGTTCTTTGCCGGAAAACAGCCTTTGCATTTGCAATAATGTTTGCTCCAATTTCTAACCCATGCGCGCGAATGGAGGGCCCTGCGCCGAAAGCTACTCAAGCAATGCAGCTATCTTGGCAAAGCGAGTTTGGAATAATAAGGAAAATTCGAAGATCAAAGGACGATTGAATAACAAGGAAGAGCGCAAATCGTTAGACTCGGTTCCGAGAGAGAGTGAGTGAGGAAACAAAGGGCCCATAGGAGAACCTCTAAGTGAATGGCATAATACGTTGAACCAAAGTTAATAATAGTCACAGAAAACAGAACTTCTTATGTATTGTTCAGATTAGTAATTCGTCGACATTGGGATGCAGTGACGCTGATATGTGGTTCAGTTCAAGCCCGTAACACGGAGGTTTTACTGAAATATTACTCAGCCCATCGCTATACCTTACTTCGGCATTGCATGTTTATTTTTACGCAGTTTGACCTAGGCTGAGGCTTAAGCAGTGATGTTGCAAAATGCACACATCACCTTCCGGTACTGAAATGCAAATTAGTTTTACTGAGTCTCATCTGTACGGTGGTGACTCAAATACCATCATTACCTATGTACATGCATAACATACCGTTTTTAGGGTGCATTTTATCCTGCAGTCGATTCTTTCACTGAGATTCCTATTTTGTGATATGATCAAGAGGTACAGCAGCTACAGAAATTTGCGATGTAGTTTCTTCTTGCCAGCTATCACTTCTTTCAATTTCTAGTTTACTCTGTTATAGCATTTGCGGAAAGTTCTCAGATATTGGTTTTGTTCTGGTTCATAGAGCACGTTGCTGCTGTTAAGTGCAGAGTCATTTTGTAGCTACGGTGTCTACATTGTCCCTGCTTTGTTGGATACTGGCATTTTTTGAATCAAAGTCGAAGTAGCTTCCACTGCGAGTAGGCATCGTGCCTTCGGTGATTCTTTATGCTGCATTTTCACTGTTCCGTCAATAAGGCATATTTTCCCTCTTCTTTTAATTCGTAGGTATTCTGGATGCTATTTTGATGCATGGAGTTCAAATGTTCGAGTTGTCGATTAAAGAGTTGCCCAACATTAAGGATTTCAATGTGGTTCACAGATTCGAATAAAATTCGTAACACGCGGACAACTCAGAAGGCATTTTATTAACGAGTGACAATAGACTGAATCTGATACTCTAATAACATATAAATATACACTATTTAATGAACAGGTCCTCTAGCAATACAGGTTTAGTCAGTAAAAGCCATGCTTTTGCGTTGATAATAACAATGTCGAGAGTTTGGTACGCATGCAACACTGCTTGCTCCGATCAGAAATCTTCCTGCTTTACGAACTTGTCCTTGCGCGGTCTGCCTGCTACAATATCTGACTCGATGCCGCATTCATTGTTGCCCAGCTTCATCTTGAAGAACCCGTGGTCGCCCCATTCGACGTTCCACGAATTGGCCAACAGCCAGTACTTAGTGCCGTTTTCAACACCCCAGCCGAGCAGTCGAACCGCGTGTCCGCCGAGTGACATGCCGACATGATGTTGATACACGCCTGCGAAAGGTACATAATAACCTCGTTGCAAGGGCTCAACTTTAGACACAACTTTCTTACCATGTTTGTAAGAAAGAAAATCCTCGTACACTTTAAACGCGGCTTCAACAGGTCCATTTAGCATGATCTCTTTTTGTATTGACTCGACCGACTTTTTGACGCGATAGGAGTCATAGCCTGAAATGAGTAAATTGAGTGATCTGATCAGTCAGTGATGTATCACCATAGTTTTTGTCTTTCTCATAAGAGTTTGTGTAGTTGGGCTGGCACGTATGTTCGCACCGCGGAGTGGGTTCAATTTTGGAACCACATGAACCATGGGTGCCATTGATGTGATGATCGCATGGTCTCAGAGGATACGGTTCACACCCAATGCTGCTGTTGTAATCACCGCCGGTGACGATGCCGCGACTGACATAGAACATCCATGCTGCGGTAGGCCAGCCTCCATTGCATCTGCAACACAACATTTCACTTGAACAACGAATTATACAAGTAAAAGATCGTTCATCATAATGCCAAAATTGTTAAAAGATCATTAATTTTTATTTAAGTTAGCTTAATATGATAAGCAATGGACTGCGTCTACTTTATGCACAGAAAGAACTTTATTTTGTCTTAAGTTCAGCTGGGAGGGGGAGGAGCAACGAATCAAGAAAGCTATATTTTCAAGAACACTCATATACGCGGAACTCCATTCACTCACAATCTCAATATCCATGAATACTTTACCATTTGAATGCAACCTTCAATAAATAGCATTTTTCAGTGTAATAATGACGATGATACGCCAACTGCAGCTTTAAATGAAAGAACAATTTAATTCATAACCTTGACTATTCATTGTTAATACTACGTACGATACAATTGCATGTACGGATTATAGTCATAAATGAACGAAGTATAACTGGAAATACAACGGACATCACAAATCAGAGACCTTCTGCCTACGACAACGGTTCAAGGCTATGAGCACACACGTCAGGTAGCTCAGTCAATACATCATTGAACTTGCAGGACTAGAACGACTGCTGGTTCGAATCTATTGCCATCCCGTTGTCCGGGATAGAAAAACGAGTACCACAACCAAGACAACGGATATGACAGGGAAGCAGAAGACTATATATTACAGCCTTCTAGTAGAAAATGCCGCTTTCCAAAAAAAAACACGGTATGCCTGACTGATGGCCTCCTGCGTGATGAAGATTGGAGTTGCGCCATAAACTCGTTAATAAAACTGTTTCACGAATGCCGTCCAATATTGCCACATGTAGGACAGAGACATATAAATGCTTATAGACCTTATTTTCTTATCAAACATCGACATTCACACTCGGCAGAAACAACTGCTTGGGTAGTAATGCCAGCTGATCCCAATCCCATCTGAGAATAGTGCCACACAATATGTATCGAGGAAGCAGCTGTCCAAATTTTAATCAACGGCAATTGGCTGGTAGGCAATGGCGCGCGCGGTGGTTGCAATGTTACAGCTTGCTTTAGGCGTTGGGTTTGAGTCCCATGAGCGGCGTAAGACTTTCTTACTAAAAGATTGCACGCATCCTTAAATAACGGCAGTCATGCTTCTTTTAGAGAGGCCGGAAGTGATGAGTTATGAGTAACGCATCCAGCGTAACTCTTTTATGAGTGGAATAGGGAGGTGAAGCGCTTCATAAAGTCCACCAATTTAACTATCTCGGTTCCGACATTTCTAAGTACCATGAAATCAGAATCAATTATGCGGATACCATCGGACCTAATGTTTCTAGTAACCTATGAAATATCTAGGCTGACAAATGAGTAGCCGTTTCCACAAAAATGCGCTGGTACCTTCTCTCCGTCAGTTCAGCGTTTCTATACGCAATGGATACAATTGCTCTAACAAAGGAGCAACAACAAAACTGAACAACGTGCAACAGCAGAGCTGCCTTCGACACATAATTAAGGGTAAATGACAGAGCCGCGTAAGAAACGATAGCATTCATTTATAGAAACACGTGACCTCAACAGATTAAGAAACGGACGTTAGCCATGTCAAACAACTGTTTATTCTGTTTCTTTCTTTCTGTTCATTAATGTCAAACAAAACGTCTATTCCATCCCGCGAGCTGTCTATGTGGGAGCCGAGGCATAGCATACATCGACCGGGAGGCTAGCATGCAACACGGAGGACTAAGGTAAAGGAAGATGATCTGCTTTCTGCAAGCAACTGTTTCTTCTACGATACAGTAACCTGGGCTTTATAGCAAAATGATTGTAAAGCAGTGAATACAACAGACGTCACAAATAAGTCACTCTGCTTATGCTAACGACTCAAGGTGATGAACTCAGTAAACACGCAGCAAAGTTTAATATCGCCAGTTGACACGTTTGGAATCTTTGCTAAAAGCTTATATACAGGAAAACGTGGCGGAGCACTTCGATAATTTTCAATCTGCCCACAGTACAGTTTAAGCATCCATTGTCAAAGCATACGATAAATGGACACGACTCAGTGAGGAGAGAGCCTCTGACCGTTCAAACGCCTTTAATTCTACGTTACGGGATACCAAACGAGCAAAACTATGAGAAGTGCCTATTAACGCCAGTAACATTTGATCGATAGCAGAAGAATCCTCCAACAGACTAAAGTTTGTCGCGATATGTCGAAAAAAATACGTCATTAATAACGTAACTTAACCTGTGCTAGCAATCTTCGAGCTGTTCAGGGCTAACCTTGTTCCTTTAGTGTTTCTGTATTTACAAATGATTTGCATATTCATAACCGCGGTACATGTTTGAACGTTGCAGACGAAACGACGGAAGGAGATTGGCCGGCAGATGAGAAGAATTGCTCGCGAGTTGTGTGAGGAAAACAAGTAGCGAACCGGCGAGACTAAACTCTTACTGAAATTCATACAACCAACGGATAAAATTGCCTACGTTTAAGTACACTACGAAAAACTTTATCAGTCGGTAACACCGTTCACTAAAAACATAGATTTGGTTTTGGTCGGCAGAACTGAAATACCTACACAACAGCAGAGACGTAGCAGTCGGCGCTGTCGAGAATAGTTGTTACCAATGATGCTTTACGCTGCGACATGCGCATGGACAGTTGCGGCCGTCGTACAATTATTCGCGTAGCCTTTCGCCATTTACCTTCCTCATACTATCCGGTCTGATTTCAAAGAAACACAAGGGCTTTATTGACCTTAGAAGAGACATCGAATGATTATCCAGCTTTTCCACTGAAAATGATTGTATCCTCGAACCATGTAAAACTGGTACGTCCTGTTTACTGATTATGGGTAAGAAATTTGCTGTCCTGGCATGCAAATGTGACAACACTTGTTTCCACAACGATGTCGCCAGTCCACAGGGAACACTAGAGTCGTTGGAAAAGGCAGCGGGCAGGTTTGGTGTCAAATTCAACCCCGAAAATACCGAGATTTTGCACAAAC